CACACTGTTGGTAGGATTATAAATAGAAATAACATTTTCAAAATATAAAGTTTAACATTTTCATTCACAGCTGTCTACCTATTTCAGTCCCCTGTTTATACCTTGCAGAGATTTTTATAGATGCACACCATGAGGTAATACACATATACATTCATGAGATTTTTCACTAAAATGAAGCAAAATAAAATAACAAAAAACCAAAACTTAGCAACTAGATACTTCTGTAAGAAGGACAAGTATATTAGTTATGGAAAATTGTACAACAAAATGATCAAATTCCAGCAGTATATAACAATGCAAGGATGTGGAACTTTAACTGTGGGTGAAAAGCAAGTGTTAGGGATCATACACGGCAAGACAGCATTACATACAGTCGCCATGAAAGAAGAGAAGAGCTGATCGTTTCTCTTGTTTCAATTGTCATGTCTTTCTTTCCTTCTTCCTTTCTTTCTGTGGTGGATAACTGCATAACAACAGAATTGATAGTGAAAGTGTCTAATATCCGAATTACAGCTCCAGGGCTTCAGAGTCCCCAAGCCAACTACATAGAAGTTCGAGGAGCTGTATAGATTTTGGGACTGGGCAAGCGTGTGTTTGAGTGGCTACGTTAATCTAGCTGTGTGATGTTTTTATTTGTATTTTATATTTCGTTGCAATACAGTGATTTTTATTTAAGAAAAAGCAAAGCAAAACAAAACGACAAAAACAAATGCAGGCAAAAACTTGAGCATAAATAATTCAGGGATGTAGACATTGCTCGGCACGACAGCAATGGAGGATAGAGAAGGAAGGTAAGGAGACAACTCAGTGGCTGGTACAGCCTGCTTTTCATCCAGGTCATTGGATTATGTTTATCACATTTATGGGGGTTGTGCTTCATAATAACACTTTAAGGTACCCTTTCATACACAGAGCTGGAAAGGATATTCATAGAGAGGCATGTATTGTAGAATGTTGGAAAAACACAAAGCACAGATTTGTGCAGAAATGACAGAAAAAAATTTAAGGTGTGACTCAAAGTGATAACTGATAAGTTTAAAATGTGCAGAGAATTTCTAAATGACTTGAAAGTTCCTTCAGAGCTTTCTTTTAAAAATTCATTTTTAGATTTATTTACTTTTCTGTGTCTGAATGTTTTGGCTGCATGTGCATGCCTGGTGCCTTTGGAGCCCAGAAGAGGGCATCAACCTCCCTGGAACTGGAGTTATGGACAGTTGTGAGCTACTACATGGGTGCTGAGAACTCGAGGTAGGTCCTCTGCAAGAGCAACCAGTGTGCTTAATCACTGATCCATCTCTTCAGCTTCTACTTCAGAAGTTTTATCGTATTTATTATGCAGAGACTTAGCAGATAAACCACATTAGATGTTAATGACTTCCTACAAGATAGCAAAACCAAAAATAGACAAGGTCATAATGAAATAGCATACTAGAGAATGTATTTACTGCTTTTTATTATTTATTTATTTTTTTGAGAGAATGTCTCACACTTTAGTGCTGAGCTTACCCAGCTAGTTGGCCAGCAAGTCCCACGGATCCCCAGGTCTCCAGTTCCCCAGCAAGGGGATCATAGGTGCCCAGCTTCTGACATAGGTGCTTTGGATCTGTGATGGTTCAAATGAAAATGGCTCCCATAAGCTCACAGGGAGTGGCACTGTTGGGAGAGTATTGCCTTGTGGGAGAGTGGGCTTTCAGGCTTCAGAAGCTCAAGCCAGGCCCAGTGTCACTCACTTCTCCTGCTGCCTATGGGCCAGGACATAGAACTCTCAGCTATCTCTCCAGAACCATGTCTCCTGCATGCTGCCATGATGTCAATGGACTAAACCTTTGAACTGTAAGCAAGCCCCTATTAATTTTTTTTTAAAATAAGAGTTGCATGGTTATGGCGTCTCTTCACAGAAATAGAAACCCTAACTAAAACAGGATCTGAACTTACATCCTCATGCTTGAACAGGCTTGAACAGCAAGCTAGTCACCAACAGAGCCATGCTTAATAATTATCACCATTCTTCTATCTCATGAAAACCTAGGACTGCCATTAGCTCAGTGTTCATTACCAAGTTCTTTGTACAGAAAAAGTACTTGTACAATATGAATTTTTCACTACCTTTCTTTCCTGTGAAATTTAGAAAAAAATTTCACTTAAGCAACACGGTTTTAGGTGTTTACTTTGTAGTTGAAGGACAATTTATTTGTATTTGTGTTAGATACTAACAGTGCAGTGTTTTGCTTTAAATCTGTATCACCAGAATCCATGTAGTATTTGTTGTTGTTGCTAACATTCCTGTAATGAAGAGTAATGAAATGTCATTAGATAACATATAAAAATTATCTCCAAGTCACTGGAAATCAATGGATGTTGATCAGAATTGGGTCCAATTTCTTATTTCCTGTATTGTGATATTTAACATCTTGAGGCCCTATCCTTCTCATACCATAAACACATAACAGCTGTCTTCCTTAGAAGATTGTTGTACCGATGGAAACAAACACGTATACATGTAAAAACCCTTGCACTAGGTATGGTGGAACACACCTTTCATCTCAGCACTAGGGAGGCAAAGTAGAGTGATCTATGAATTCAAAGATAGCTAGTCTACATAGCGAGTTCCCGGCCAGGCAAGGCTACATAGAAAGATCTTGTCTCAAAAAAACCAACAAAAGAAAATGTCTGTAAATCAGTATAAACAAACACGAATTTGGCATCAGTGGAAAGTGTTTCTACTTTTTCTAGCATGTTAAGCATACAGTAAAGTATAATGAAATGCTTATTTAGATATTTTAAAATTGTAAGTGAAATTTCTCAACAGAAATAGGAAAATGCCTAATCAACATTCTTGAAAATGTTGATTTTTACATAGATGTAAATGTCACAGCACAACATCACAGAATTTAAAGATGTCCAAATTTATTACTTAAGTCATTAAGTCAAGCTATTATGGTAATAATCTAGTTTCTTAAGTTTTCAAGGAATAAGTCAGGGCCTAGGCATGTTCTCCAATCCTTGCGCTTGGAATGTTGAGTCCGGGTAGAGGCTCCAGTGGGCCTTTGGCCTTGGAATTTTACTACTACTTCAAGAGAGGTCAGAGTAGGAATTCTGGGACGTTATCAGTTTATCTACAAACTATGTTTGCTTTTAGAGACACAGTTGTATGGACAAAACTACTAACGGACCTCAAATCCGACAGTTTACAGTAAGAAATAATTTGTTTTCCTAGCAACACCTAGGACATTGCCTCTAGTTACAGTTCTTAAAGAACTATTTATTGTCTGATTTTGGAACTTTTTGAATATTAAGCAAAAAATAACCTAATTTGTTTTCAACTTCTATTTCCTTGCTCAGGTCGATAATACTGAAAGCCAAAGAGAGCCAGAACCACATACTGAAGGCCATATCCTACTTTCAAAAAAATACTCTTAACAGTTCCTCATATTCCTTTCCTACAGTTCTATTTATGTTTATATTGTTGTGGTCATGGTATATGTGTCAATTAAATACTTAAGCATGTTTTTTTGTTTTTTGTTTTTTGTTTTTAGGTAAGTCTGGGTTTTTTGTAGAAACTTTGGCAATTATGGAAACTACACAAAAATAAGAAGAAAATAAAAATTGCAAATATTTACTACCTTAAATTATGGACTGTGAACATTTTGCTATATTTCTTTCCAGTAGTTCTTATATTTTGTGTCTTAAAAAAAATAATTGTACTCAAAAGAAGGCAGAAGTGTTCGGAGGACAGATTGGCTGGGAGGGTATCCAGCGGCCTGAACTGCCCAATGGATCAGCACCGTTCTTCATGGACAGGGGTAGAGGGGATGACAATTTTCCTTTAAGGGTCACTTGCTCCATATTCTAGGCGAACAGTGGTCGCCCACACTGAAGTCCTCCTCCGACGTCCACCTCTGCGCACTCACACTCCCACCCTCATCTCCGGCGAGATCTGAGGAGGTGGGTGTCGCTTCGGAGCCTCCAGCGACTTCGGTGAAGCACACGCAGAGTCGCTCGCGAGGGACACTGTCTCCCGGGGAAGCGTGGCCGCCAGCACAGTCCCAGGGTACTGCGGCCGGCCCTGCCCGGACCTCCCGAGGTTGCCATACAGGTCTGGCCGGCTCGGAGCTTCTGCTTTCAGAGTGACAGAGCTGCTGGGGTCCGGTCCGCCTCGCGGGGGATCCCAGCGGGCTTCGGAGGCGACCGCCCCGGGTGTCCAAACCCACCGCCCGGTCCTCGAGGCGGGAGAAGTGTGTCCCATCACGCTAGCCTTACCGAAGGGCCCGGCGTGGACGGCACCACCGCGCGGCGTGCCGGAGGGGGGAGCGCTCACGTACGGCTCCCGGCTCCCGGCAGGCACGGCCTCGCCGCGCGAGAAACCCGTGCTCAGGCCCTCGCGTCACTATCACATTGTCCCCGGGAGCCAGCCCGCAAGGCGGAATCGACCAACCGCTAGAGCTGAGCGGCCGGACGCGCCGCTCCCCCCGCCCCTCGCCCCGCCCGGTGCCCACGCGCGCCCACCCGGCCGAGCGGCTTCGGGGCCCCAGCCTGGCCCGAGTGCTACGCGGTTCGGAAGCGCCACTCCGGGGGCGGGGCGCGGCGGGGCGGGGCGAGCGGGGCCGGGAGCTGCCGAGCGCAGCCGAGCGGAGCCGAGCCGCGAGGTGCCGGGGAGAGGCAGGCAGAGCCTGCCGGCGGCTCCGCACCCATCGCGCCGCGTTTCCCGGCTCGCTGCTCCCCCTGCCTTTGCCCAGGCGCCCGCAAAACTTTTATTGTCTCGGGACCCCCCCCGGGTGTGTGACGAAATCGAGCGCTCCGCTGTCTCCGCGCTGCCCACAGCGGCGATCGAGGGAACGTGCAGCCCTCGCCCGCCGGGCTCTCGCGCCCTGCGCTTCCTCACCTGCCGAACGCTCCCGGGAGCCGCGAGGCGGGCACCCCGAGAGGGACCGCGCGGGCATCGGCGCCCCGAGATCCTCCTCACCGTTGCGGACCGGCTCGGCGCAACTTTAACTTGATTCCTGCCGTCCACCCGGGGCACCCGCGGCGGCCGTCGCCGCCGCCGTCGCTGCGGTCTCACAAAGAGCGCGGAGAGGGAAGGCGGCGCGGGCGGCGGGCACGGGCCTCCGGCTGCCGAGACAAAAGGGAAACTGCCACCGTTCCGGACGACTGTTCCGAGTCGCCGTGGGCTCGTCCTGCCGGCCCGGGCTGCCTCCCCGCCTGGGTCCCCGCGGGCTGTGCCCGCAGTGCTCGGACCCCGCGGGCTGCGGGGCGCGCGCCGCTGCTGCTGCTCGGGGCTCCAGGGGATAATAAATGATAGAGGATACAATGACTTTGCTGTCTCTGCTGGGTCGCATCATGCGCTACTTCTTGCTGAGACCCGAGACGCTCTTCCTGCTGTGCATCAGCTTGGCTCTGTGGAGTTACTTCTTCCACACGGACGAAGTGAAGACCATAGTCAAGTCCAGCCGGGACGCCGTGAAGATGGTGAAGGGCAAGGTGGCCGAGATTATGCAGAACGATCGCCTCGGAGGACTTGACGTGCTGGAGGCCGAGTTTTCCAAGACCTGGGAGTTCAAGAGCCATAACGTGGCGGTGTACTCCATCCAGGGCCGGAGAGACCACATGGAGGATCGGTTCGAAGTTCTCACGGATCTGGCCAACAAGACGCACCCGTCCATCTTCGGCATCTTTGATGGGCACGGCGGCGAGGTAGGAGTTCTCTGTGTCTGTGTCTGTGTAAATAACCGGGCGTCGCGTGCGTGGCCCGGTCGGATGTGGGCGAGAGAGGCGTGGTGATGACCTGGTGCTGACAAAAGTGATTCAAGTTGCCAGGACCCTGCCAAGGAGATCTTGGGTACGAGCGTTCAGTTTAGCTGGGAGACATGCACTCGTTATTCCGTGCCGTTACCATACAAAGTTCCCAAGGTCAGAAGACAGTTAATGACTGCTGGTTCTCCGGGGAGGAATTATTAGTATATAACAGTGACCCCCACCCCCGGCCTCAGGGTCCCGATTGTGGAGTTTGAGGCTAGTGAGCCACTAAGGAAGACAGGGTCTTGGGTGCACCCCTCAGGGCAGAAGCCTCCTGCATCAGTTGGATAGACTCAGTGAAGGTGAAGAAGCTGTGTCTTCCACTCTCTTCGCGAGAGGGAAGGACTCCCTGCCGCAACGCCGAGCTTCTTCCCAACTCTGTCAAGTTTGCGAGTGCAATCAGGCGGAGGTAGGGTGTGCGGGGGACACACAGGGTACCTCGCCACTGGTGGGTTTTGGCTCCCTGGCCTTTGCAGAGGTGGCTGTGCACATCTGACCTCTGTGCAGCGGCTGGCGTGGAAATACTGACGCCTCCTTCCCTCCTTCCTTCTGTAAACCTTTGTTTGGGGTATATCTGGGAGCAGGAAATGGGCTAAAGCCCGCTTTAGGTCTTTCTCACCTATTTCTGCGACATTAGACACCGGGAGTGTGGAGACTCAGGTTTCCTAGAGGTCCTGCCCTTGGGCCTGTGCCCAGACGAAGTGAGTGTTAAAATATGGCTCCAGAGCGAGTCCCCACATTTGTCTCAGTTGGACACTTGTAACAGTTTCATTGCTTCTTGCTCCCCAACCTCTTTCTTGGCAGCATTCCTCATCGCCTTTACCTTCTTGGTTCCACTGCATTCCTACCCTTCTTCCTCCTCCGGGTGAGCTCCAGGGAATTGCAGGACTGTTTTGCCTACATTTTTTTTTTTTTTTAAACATCAAGGAAGCTTTCAGTTGATTATCTTATCTGCATTCTCCACTCACCATTTGCAAATCTTGCCCAGGTACAGTGCCTCCTCGCCAGCTTTGCAGAAAATGGCAAATAGTTGAAAAACTTAGGTGATAAGAATGGAATTTGGCTTTAAACATCTTTCCCACCTCCTTTATAATGTATCCTTCAGAATGAAAGTTTCTTATTCATTGTACTTTTGTAGTCTTGGGTGGTTTGGAGTTCTCTTCCCCTGACCACAGGGTAGCTGGAGATAGGAGACAGCCCGTACTGAGTAAAAAGATACCTGAGTGACAAGGGAGATAGTTTAATGACTCAGTCATATCCTCAGTTTATGTGCAGGAACTCAGTGGAGACGAAGCAAACTGGGAGTCTCTCCTGTAAATAATTTAATAAACATATTTATTATAAATATGAAGTAAAACAGTTGCTAATAATCTGATTCTGGGTTTTGAAAGCACACCTTTTGAATCCTGATGGACTGTGTTGGAGAACACTGGGCAGTGGCTCTCTAGTTGTGACATATTGGCAAGATTTAGCCTTGCACTTGTGATTGGATGATTACATTTTTTTTTTCTTTTGAGTCTTTCAAGACATTGAAGCTGCAGAGCCAGAAGTTTCAGTTCAGCAGTTTCTAGATTACTAGAAACTGGGTAAATGTGCCCCCCCCCCCCGCCCCGGGAAGGATGCAATGGATGCTTTCTGTTAATTCAAAGCATTTTACACGTACTCCATTTTCATTACAGCTAAAGAAGCAATAAGGAAAGAGATGACCTCTGCTAGCCAAACCGTGAAATGCTGTTTATCGAATCTTTGCTGTTTGCAGAATAGTTACCATTATCAGTTCTCACAAAAAATAGAGTTATTGTTCTGTCGCCTCCTGTCATGTTTGGTCAGTTCAGGCTCTTTGGCTTTGTTTTATCTTAAGAAAGTAAAATGGGGAATGTTGTGTATGAGTTTTGGGTTGCTGTTGGGATCGTGATAACAGCAGACACTACTGAGAGACTTCTCTCTGGCTTTTTTATTCTCTTGTTATATCATTTTAAGAGAATCCCAGCTTCTAGTTATTGTCATCTGTGTTCTTGGATTCTTTAACATTCACCAGAGGAGGGTGCCACTGTTTGAGGTTTTGGATGATAGCTGCATCCTTTCAGAAAAGGTGCCTTTTCCGAACTGTTAGTTGTGTGTGTATACATGCACACACACACATATACACAACACTGGGGGTAAATGAGTTGAATTTTATTCGTGATAATTCATACTGATAAAATAAGTCACACAAGTGCTGTTTAGATTCAGAAGGGAACTTAGTTGTCCCTGTATATTTCATCCTTATATATTGATTTCTTCTTGTTTTTTAGATAGGGTGCAAATGGCTAGAGGAATTGTGACCTTCCTGCGGCTGTCTGGCTAGTGTGAGGCCTTTGGTTTATTGGCCTTTTCACTGGACAATAGGCTAGCATATTTTCCTAGATATATAGCAGGCTAGGGACACGAAGGTGACTGAACAGAACTTCTGCCCCTCCAGAAGTTTCAGTCTAGCAAGAGAGATAGACTCTTAGTCCAAAAGTGATAGTGTGGTGTGCTTATGGTGTTCTGGGAACAACGAACAACCATTTACACCAGATGAGAGGTAGGTGAGGTAAGCCGCCACTAAGGCACCATTGCCTGTAGGATGGAAAGGAAAGGCTTTGCTTGGTTGCTTCTTGTTAGAAACAGGGTCTAGTGATGGAGTGTGGGCTGGCCACGAACTCACAAGCCTCCTGCGTTAACATGCCCAGTGCTGAGCTTATAGGCATGTGCCATGGTGCCCTGAGAAAGTAAGTGCTTTTTGACTTAGAGTCTGGCTCTGAGTCTCTGTGACTTAGTATCAGCTGTGACCTTGGGCCAACTGCTGAAGCAGCTTTCTCTGGGAGTAGTTTATCTAAAATACGGGGGTGGGGGATAATGAATGTAAGGGGAATCCTCTTCAGTTGTTCTGTGTCTTAGTTGGAAGGACTCAATTGGGAGATTGTTATGGATGAAGACAGCTCAGGCATCTGGAAGTCTGCCATATTAAGGCAGTGAGAGCCAAGAGAGAGATGGTTTACCTGTGGGAGTCACAACTTTCGTCACTGGAAAGATGCTTGTGGGGCGCCCATAACTAACTTATTCCCCAGATTCTCTGTGTCTTCTTTTGAACATCTGGCACACTTCTGATTATTAATTAAGGATTCTATGGACATTGAGAAAGTAGCACTCTGGTATCAGGCTCGAGTTTTCTGATTACTGAAAAGGAATATTCTCTATGATTAATTAATAGATTGGTAGGTATTCCTGTGAGTTGAATAGCATATTCAGCAAGTGTTTTGGTTTTTTCCCCCACAAACACATCTCTGAGCTTGTGCTGAAGACTAGCCCGAATGGCTATGATGTCATTGAGTTGCATAAGGTGTAAAAGCTTCACCTCTCTAATCCAGTGGACCAGGCTCTTTGTTTGATTCTCTTGGACCCTTGAAACATCCTATCCACCACATGATGGTGACTGCCTATGAATGTATCTGAAGCTATGGCAGTGATTTACTTGGGTAACATTTGATCAAGACAATCACAGGTTACGGTGAAGCTCAGACTGTAGCAATAGTGGTCCAGGTCTTTAGTCTCAAGCCACATGGGAGCCAGAGGCAGGTGGATCTCTGTGAGTTCAAAGGAAATCTGGTCTACATAATGAATTTCACGAGAGCAGTGACTCAAATAAATAAATAAGTAAAAAAAAAAAAAAAAAAACAAATGAAATGAAACCAATAAAGAACCCCGCCACCCCGATATCATCCAGGAAAATGATTGGTAGTACACTTATGTATAATTTACCACAGGCAAAAGGCATTTTGTTATTTATTTATCTATTCATTTGTTTATTTATTTATTTAGCACTGTATAGAGGAAAAATAACCAATCCTTTGGTGCAATTTTGGCTGAAATTTATCCAGGTGACTGTATTTTTTTTTAAATGCTCTCATGCTAGTGGGCATTCCTATATTAAAGTTTGAAATAAAGTTGACACAGTTTGAAACATTTGTATTTCATATTAGAGAAGAACGTACTTCAAGTGTTCAAAAGGAGCTTCAGTCTTGAGGCTCAGGTGAGAAACCACGGAGAGGCTCGCCTGCAGGATCCAGGCATGCAGGTTCTGAACTCTGATCAGTGAGACTTGTTTCGCACCGGGCTTCCTTCTGAGAGTGTTAGGAAATCACAGACATTCGCTCCAGAAAAAGCAGATGTGACCATCAGATTTGGGTTATAGTCAAAGGCAAGTGGTGTGTGAAGCCTCTGCATTTGAGGTTAATTTAGATAGAATGAAATCTAGACCCACAAAGAGCAACACACCCGGTCTCTCCTTGGGCTACCTGCCTTCTCCAGTGTGTGTACTTGTCTGCTGGTGTGCTGTGGTTATGCCTCTGAGGGTTGTTATGAGGCATGGTCTTCCGTCGTGCCGACAAATCAACTGCAAGGATGTTACTGAGAATTTTGGTGCATTACATAGCATGGCTTTTATGAAGATCAAGGGAGAGATAGTACTCTAATGCCTTCTTGTCTTCATCTTAAAGCTGTTGAATCATACAACTGAGTCATCCTGTGATCTTTGCAGCTAAAAGTGCTGAGAGCCAAACCTCTGCCCTCCCTCTAGTAAATGTGTAGACTTTTATAGAATACATTCATTTGGCGTGATAACCTTACCCTCAGGATAGCTCATCTTTGCTACATTCAATTTCCCTTTGTCCCATTTTTCTCTTTCTCCTTTTATATATGTCCTCTTTATCTTGTGGTGTTCTATGTGTTTGTGTAAGTTCCATTGGCTCCCTCTGAGATAGTTCTACCTAAATAAATTACAAGTGGTACAGCCAATGATCTCTTTCCAGACATTACAGCTGAGGTTAGTAAATGTTTAAATCTCACATTATAGTGTACAAGAGACCTGAGGAGAA